TCTCTACTCCTTTCACTCTCCCTCGAACTCTATCTTCCTTTCCCTGTATCTCTCTCATTCCTCTCTTACCTTCTATCTCTCTCTCTATATACCTCTTTTCACCCTCTATCTATCTATACAGCTCTCTCTCTCTCTCTCATTCCCTCTCTCTATCTATCTATCTCTCAGTATTATCGGGATTTGTACAGATTATCTACAATTTTGCCATAAATGGAAAATAGTTCAATTCATTCGAAAAGTATAAAAATACCATAAAAATATTAAACAGACAGACCATATTAGTTAGGTTTAATACAACTTGTTTAAATTAATTTTCTGATGCATAGATATACAGGATGTGATGAATAAATTGTCTAAATGACGTATAAATGAAAATAACACTGATATTTCGTTTAAACAGATTAACCATAATTACACAGAAATATCTTAAAATACTAAAGAGTAAATTTATTCAATAAAATCGCCATTGGCTTCAACCAAGGCCTCCAGACGACTTCGGAATCTCCTGCAACTCTTCTGGACGGTGTAAAGGGTGATGTGGTTGCAGAAATCGTCTAGCAGCCATGACTGGGTTCTTCTGCTTGTGTGGCATAGTGCAATGTCCTGTTGCCAGACATAAGGTCTTCCAGCAGTCACCAACTTGACCCAGGGCAGTACTACCTCCTGAAGGCACATGAAGTACACCTCTGTTTTGAGTCTGTAGGAAAATGAATTGTGGCATAACGTCGCCATTACACGTGATCACTCCAATGACCTTCGTAATTACCATTAGACTCATCCAACTCTTTTCGAATCCTCTGTACTGACATTGACACCCAAACATTCTGAAATGTTCGTTTGCTTCACTAATGCCAAGCAGTACAGCATACCATTTCCAAATTTCTGACGGAGTGAATTGCGCTATGGTGCTACTTTACTGACAGACGGTGCCCAACTGATTCTACGTTAATGTGCAATCGACAAAATTAAAAACAAACAACGCGCATGCGCGAAATTAAAAATATATGGCGAAAATTTACCCATCGCACTCTAAAGACTACACACACACAAACACGCACAAATATATATATGGTGGAGCAGAAATGCCAACAAGAAGTTTACGGATGACAAAAAGATCACGGTAACTGATATTAAAAAATTATTTCACTGTTGTCTATGTAAAGGGATCAAGATTTAATTAATTTTGTTTTTAATGCAGACCTCTGTTCGCCATACACTGTTGCAGACGATTTCTAAAATTTTTCTGTCACTCGGGGGTAGATTCCTTTTATGCGCTGAACCTGTGACCCTGAAATGCTCAACCCATAGCAGTATCGATTTTCTACCCGGAAAAAGAACCATTCCGATATAACATGAAATCAACACTAAAATCTCCCAGTGTTGCAATTAGAGATTCACCCGTGTTTAAAAAAACGATAAAAAAACGCTTCAGCTGCAAACGTACGGTGTGAACTGTTGCAAGCAATGGAGGTAACTGATGACATCTGAAAAAAAATGTAAGGCGTTAGTCACCATTATTACTTGGTTAAGTTCACAGCAGACAAGTGATAGCTTAAAAAATATGAGAGTATTTCAGCTGCAAAAATATATATATATATATATATATATATATATATATATATATATATATATATATATATATATATATTTAAAAAGGAGAATTAACAGGTATTAATGGCCAAAATAAAACGTATTTAGGATATACTGAAGGTACTTTCAAACTCAGATGGTACAATCATAGGTCGTCATTTAAGCTAGAAAATCTTAGGTATTCTATCAAACTAGTTGACCAGGTATGGAATTTAAATGAAATACAACAGGGACCCAATTGTAAGGTGGAAAATTTTTAAAAAGACAAAGACTTACAACAATATTTGCAACATTCGCCAACAGAAAAAATTAGAAATTATAACATTCCCGGATCCAAAGAAACTTTTAAACCAGAATACCCGAAGTCTGAAGTCCTTGCTTACATATTAGAAAATTCCTCTTAAGAACATATGAGGGCGGATAAAAAAATATACATTTGAATTAAACCCCCACCGATACATTTACAATACTCTTCTTCTTCTTCTTCTTCTTCTTCTTCTTCTTCTTCACATCCTCCTCCTCCTCCTCCTCCTCCTCCTCCTCCTCCTCCTCCTCCTCTTCTATTACATCCAACGTCGTTTATTTAGTTTTGAAAATAATAATATAGAGTTCATTAGTTTTTAAAAAATAAAGCGTTAAGAGTTTGATAAAAATCGCCTGAGGATACCGTAAGGTTGAAACCAAGATAGCGGATTTAACTGACCCCTGATTTTTAAAGTATATATATATATATATATATATATATATATATATATATATATATATATATATATATCGAAATAAAAGTATAAAATTTAATATTTCAAGACATATTAAAACAATATTAAATAATAAAAAAAAAAAAACTCAACAAGGGGGGGAAGCAACCTGGTTTTTGCTCCTGCTCGTCAGGCTTCCACGGGAGATTCAAAATTAAAACAGAGAAATGTACAATGTGAATAGGTGGAAAAAAAAATTACACACAAATTTTCCTTCCTTAAGCTGAGAATTGCCTGCCAGACGTGTTTCACTAATGGCCGCTATGTCAATGTTATACTTCTTCGAGAGACACAAGACCTGTTTTATGCTCTTTGGGAGCAAGTGATGTTTAGGGGTTCTTTTATCGCCCCCTCTCCATAATAGGAAAATCAGTGCAAATATTAAATAGGGTTCCTTAGTCACCGATGGAGGACACGGACATCACAATTGCTCATGGGTTTGTGAAAGAACGGCCATCACCGCTTGGTCTGCCACTGTGTAGAGCTCCAGCCTTCCAGTAATATCCTTTACCTGACCCCGTCGCCTTTACTCTCTCGCCAGCGAAACTTATAAGTGAACTGTGTGGATAAGAATGAATGAATCAGGGTAAACCACCAGAAACCCTACACAAGTGATTTGATTAAAGTGGTGAAGGCTTGTGCAGAACTATCTACACTTTTTGAAACTATTGATACACTCAGCCGGTGCAAATAAATGTCACAGGCGAAGTAGACAATAGATCTCAGGCTTTTCGTATAAGATTTTTCCATCTCCTGACCAGTCTATAACACTGAAGAGCCTGGTCAGCCCTGGTAGGCACTATTTGCTCCTATCTGGAACTCTACCAGGTGCTACCACCCCGGGTCAAGGCGGGCCTGGTAACAACAGCAATTAAAAGCGCATATAATATATAAATAATTATATATATATATATATATATATATATTTATATTTATATGCACATATTTTTCACATATATATATATGTGTGTGTGTGTGAGAGAGAGAGAGAGAGAGTGTGTGTTTCATTGAATAATATAGACATATTGTGTGTACTTATCTTTATACTGACTATGTTGACTAATCAGTTTCTTGATGTTAAGATGAAATTTAGCAAGGAATCCTCCGTAGTTTTTTGTTTTTTTTTAACCCAAGTACTTTCGACCTTTTATAAAATTATCTTCAAAGGTAAATTACAAAGACGGCCTTATTGATACTGGGATAAAGCCTGCAACAAAATAAAATCTTACATTTACCTTAATAAAGTCCTTCAAAGGACGAAACGCGGCAGTTAAGATAAGTTTTTCCACTTGTCTTTTTTATTATATATATATATATATATATATATATATATATATATATATATATATATATATATATATATATATATATATAAAATGAAAAGCTTTTCCTCTTCATTCATTTTAAGTACAATTTCATTAAATATCACGATACTTTATTTCAAATTCAAATCAGTATACGAGAGATTGGGGGTTTTACAAGAATATATAAGTACTGAGTTTTTGAGAAACATGCTTCTCGAAACATGATATTTAGTCTACATTTTCTGTCTTTGTGGGATAGGTATATTTCATTTCACATATATCTTCCTGTATCAATTTCAACTGATACCATCTATCATCTTTTAAAGATCGTATTTTATTGAATCGATGTAACAAAAAAAATTAAAATTAAATGTTTCTAACATATTTCAGTGAAATTTTAACTTTCTAAAAATGATGGTTTTACACGGGGGAAAAGATACTGTCAGTTAAAACTGACGCCAGGGTCATACCGGTTTAAAATAAATGGTTACTTGAAATGAATTTAATTTCAAACCGGTTTTATAATTCATTTCTCATAAGACAATCATCAAATTTTAACTGAAGGATAAGATATCCATTGTTTTTAAGATGTTTTAAAAATGACGATGATGGCATATTCTCCTGAAATAATCCTGAAATATAATATTCACGTGATCTAAATAAAAGAAACACGTGATTATAAATTGCCTTCACGGTAATAGAATGTGAAAGATATTTGGAAATGACGTAAATATTCATGTGTTTGCCTAATATATTATTCCAGTCTTAAAAGGAAATCTGAACAATAAAAGCGAACATTTTCTTGAATCAATCAGAAATGGGAATGCCAAAAGTAAGTTGTCTTAAGGATGGCATACATATATATATATATATATATATATATATATATATATATATATATATATAGTTTATGCTATATATATTCATGCTAGATGCAATCGTCAGGCCACGAGTCTCGTGGACTTACGATGCATCTAGCATGAAACAGACTGTCGACTCTAAGTGTTGACTTCTAAGTTCACTTTTTATATTTATGCTCTATCTCTGATATTGAGCACTTTATCCCATAAATGTAGCACATCTTAAGAATATATTTATATATATATATATATATATATATACAGGTGAAAACGAATATAAGTACACATACAAATTTTTAATTTATTGTATTTCTAACTAATGTATAAACATATTTTTATATAATTAGCTGCACACAGACGTGTAGTGATTAATATGCATAGAAAACAGAAAAAAGTTTGATTTAATAGAAATAAATCCCATTTATCATTTTAATATGTGAAAAATGTATTCGTCCAATGCAAATTTCAGATTTTAAAACTTTTAAATTGCTTTAAAACTCTAGATTATTAGATCATTCTAGAATGTTTCCGTAAAGCTATCAGTTATTTTTAGGCTAAAAATTCAAACAGAACATTCTGTAATTGATGTTCGTGCAAGAAGGTTATCATCATGGCAAAAGGTAAAGAATTGACAAATTCGCAAAAAAGAACTTATTGTTAATCTATGGAAAGTAGATAAAAGTTACAGGAAAAGCTCGAGCAACTTGAATATTCCATTTACTACCATTAGTTCACTCATTGCAATGTATAAAAAATTCAAAACTGTTGAAAAACAAAAAACATATATATATATATATTTATATATATATATATATATATATATGTATATAAATAAAAAGAAAGAACAGTAAGATATAAAATCCGGTGTTCTTATAGATATTTTATTTTTACAAAATAGTGCTCAATGTAAATTTACAGAGCATTAATATTATAAATTAATTGATTTAAAATATGGTTATTTTCGCTACACAGTTCCAACCATGTTTCAAAAATAGAAGCTAAAACCCTAATTTTATTTTTGCAAATAAATTAAAAAGCATTAGTTCCATTTCATCTTCAAGCGAATTTTGGAGTAACTTTTAAAATTTACCGGGTTTTAAATACACAGCTAAAATCACGTTTCCATGGTTACAGAATATTCTACTCAAATTGAACAAGGGGTGTCTAGATTTTCCTTATGACAGTATCATTGTATCAGTTATTAGCTACATTTTGGTAAGGGGTGAGGATGTATTTTACACTGAAACCTGACGTCGGTTGAATGGATGTCGTCTGAATTTAAAAAAAAAAAAAAAATTGTTAACGGTAAAAAATTTTCAACGTCATCTTTTAAAATTAAAGATTTTTTTTTACAATACTTTTTATTTAACTACGATTTGAAATATTTTCCTTTTAATTTTTATTTTACTATATTCTTTTTAAGAACAGTTAAATGTATTAGAATCCATTATATGATGTAGGATTATTTTAACATTAAGTTTAAGTATGTATATGAGGTTATATTTTTTTTTTGTATATGACTATGACAGCAGAAATGGTTACTTAATTTCACTGATTCAGTAAACTTTTCTTTTATATATAAACCTATTATTATAATATTTCACATGTAAGTACTGAGGACATGGGTCATTCAAAAGCTTACATGTTATGGTATTTCATATTAATTTTATTTTACTATAGGTGTTATTTTTGGATTCTTTTTTTAATGCGTAGTATTATTTAAAAGAAATTTAGGTTAGAATTCATTCAATTTAACTACAATTTTAATTACAAATTCAAAATTACTACTTTAAAATTTTAAAATATTTTCATTGTTTAGTTTTAATAGACTATATTATTTTATAACAGAAGGAAAATTACTCATATTAAGTAAGATTATTTTTCCATATCAAAGTATATGTAAATTTTTTTTTTTTTTTTTTTAAATTTAAATATTATTTAAGTAATATTAATGGCACTTACTACAAAAACTAGCTAAGTCATTTCTCAGATTTAGTAAACTTTATTTATTTATTAATTAATTAATTAATTTATTTCAAATATATGTAACCTAATTAATAAAGTTTCATATGTATGTATAAATAACATGTTAGAATTCATTTTATTTTACTACAATTTTAATTTCAATTTTAAAATTATAACTTTAAAATTTTAAAATATTTTCATTGTTAGTTTTAATTTAGACTATATTACTTTTATAACAGAAGGATAATTACTATAGTAAGTAAAAAATTTTTTCCATATCAAAGTATATGTAAATTACAATTTTTAAACTTTTAATTTAGATATTATTTAAGTAATATTAATGGCCCAGACTACAAAACTATCTAAGTCATTTCTCAGAATTAGTAAACTTTATGTATTAATTCAAGTTTAAGTATGTATATGAGGTTACATTTTTTTTTTTTTTTATATATATATAAACCTAGTGATATAATGTTTCTCATGTAAGTACAAAGGACATGTGTCATTCAAAAGCTTACATCTTATGGCATTTCATATTAATTTTATTTTACTATATTTGCTTTTTTGGGATTCTTTTTTAGTGCGTGTAGTATTATTTAAAAGAAATTTAGGTTAGAATTCATTCAATTTAACTTTAATTTTAGTTTCAATTTTAAAATTACAAACTTTAAACTTTTGAAATATTTTCATTGTTAGTTATATTAGACTATATTACTTTATAACAGAAGGAATATTACTCATAGTAAGTAAAATTATTTTTCAATATCCAAGTATATGTAAATTACAATTTTAAACCTTTATATTTTAAAATATTATTTTAGTAATATTAATGGAACTTACTACAAAATTAGCCAAGTCATTTCTCGGATTTAGTAAACTTTATTTATTACTTAATTTATTTATTTATTTTAAATATATGTAACCTAAGTAGTAAAGTTTCATATGTATGTACCAAGAACAGGTTTTAATTTATTTGCAAAAATAAAATTAGGGGTTTTTAGCTTCTATTTTTGAAACATGGTTGGAACTGTGTAGCGAAAATAACCATATTTTAAATCAATTAATTTATAATATATATATATATATATATATATATATATATATATATATATATGTGTGTGTGTGTGTGTGTGTGTGTGTGTGTGTGTGTGTGTGTGTGTATGTATATTAACTATAGTTTCCGTGTGTTTGTATGTGTGTGTGTCGCCGTACGTTCTGAAGAATACTGGATCAGACAGAGGTTTCCGCGACAAAGAAAGACGCTCTTTCGAATTCTGCCGGAGAGCATAATGTCTTTATTAAGTCTCTCAAATACACGAAACGGTAGTTATAACACACACGTTTAAAAATAAGGTAACTATTCAAATATGGGTATCTACTCAAATAACATTTAGAGTAATGAAAAATAATGATGGTACAAAAAGAAAATTTATTAATTCCTTAGAATTATTGATCACGCCAGATAATGCGCACTCTCCCAGAAACTGTAACTAACGTCTGCATAGTAAAAAGTACAGGTGAGCCTCGTAGGCTTTGAACAGACACAAATGTGCCTGAGCAGGCATCTTCACCAAGGATTCTCTAGCCGCCCTTCTAGACAAGCATACACGGATATGAGCGGTCAGCTCTTATCCAATTTTCAGTTGTGTATATATCCTAAGTTTAGTTGGGTTCACATGTTATTGTGTACCCAACAGCATCCTTTGAGACCCGATTCTGCACTTGATGTCATTGAGGTTACTTTCTAGTTTAGCACTCGAGGCATCTAGATCTTCTAATGTTCTGAGACGACACCATGTACAAAACTTAGCTGGATATTGTTCAGGATGGATACAATTAGATCAAAGGTTCCTCATAAATATTAAATTCGATGACGACCTCGGGTATTTCCTAGCGAGAAACATCGCACTACGCACCTATACTTATGGAGGAATTTATTCTGGAAATTTTCCCTATCTCGGTCTACGTCGTACGACCATCATGTGCCTAAAGGCAGAATCTGTTTTCATCACTGAACGTTACAGAACGCTATTTAGTGCCCCAAGTAATCATGTCGCGATATCACTGGAGATGGTAACGATGATGATGCGGCTTAAATGGAAGTCAGGCCAGAGGTAAGCTACCCCGTAATTAGGCTGTAAGTAAACTATTCACAACGAAGAGTGTTAAAACTCCTGGAGTCAAATATCCAAGGATTTGGGAGGTTCACAAATAGATAGATAGATAGATAGAAAGAACCAGAGATAGATAGAAAGAAAGAAAGAACCAGAGATAGATAGATAGATAGATAGATAGATAGATAGATAGATAGATAGATAGAAACAACTAGAGATAGATAGATAGATACATACATACATAAATACATACATACATACACATATAAGCATACAGTGATAGATAGATAGATAGATAGATAGATAGATAGATAGATAGATAGATAGATAGATAGAACCAGCGATAGATAGATAGATAAGCATACAGTGATAGAAAGAAAGAAAGAAAGAAAGAACCAGCGATAGATAGATAGATAGATAGATAGAAACAACCATAGATAGATAGATACATACATAAATACATACATACATACACATATAAGCATACAGTGATAGATAGATAGATAGATAGATAGATAGATAGATAGATAGATAGATAAGCATACAGTGATAGAAAGAAAGAAAGAAAGAACCAGCGATAGATAGATAGATAGATAGAAACAACCAGAGATAGATAGATACATACATACATACATACATACATACATACATACATACACATATAAGCATACAGTGATAGATAGATAGATAGATAGATAGATAGATAAGCATACAGTGATAGAAAGAAAGAAAGAAAGAACCAGCGATAGATAGATAGATAGATAGAAACAACCAGAGATAGATAGATACATACATACATACATACATACATACACATATAAGCATACAGTGTTAGATAGATAGATAGATAGATAGATAGATAGATGACGAGAAAGAAGATTTCTCTCTTTCATATTTTCCAAAATACATCCGATAGAATGTTATATTCAGAGGCAATTTTCAATATTCCAGAAAGTTAACGAATCACTGATTTTGAAAATCTAAGGGTGAACATGATTGGAATTGCTCATGGCACTAAAATCTTATTTATACAAATCATGAGGATTTTCGAAAGCTAATGGAAAATATTCCATATTTACACACATTATTTAAATACATACATGCATATCAACCAATTTCTACATTTATATTCAAATATCTTTCCACAGACTTCCTTAGACATAGTTTTTATTTTGATAATCATGATATGTTGCTTGTTAACGCATGTTATTTTCATGACATCGGATGCAATATAATACAATATAATATAAAATCGATTATTATAATGCTATATTATTAGGTTTTAATAACTCACATGTTGTTTATAATTGAGCCGGGCACCTTACACATTCTTACTAAGAATTATACGTCCTTGTTTTTATATCTGTGACTTGATATTATTAAACTGTGCTATAATTAATTCCTGGTTTTGTTTATCGCTGTTATTTTTCAAAACAAAACAGAATTAAATTTTATTCAATTATACAGGGTGCGATGGATAAATTGTCGTCTAAATTAGGTAAAAAATGAAAATAACAATGACATCTTATTTAAACAGATACATTTACCAAAATTACACAAAAATATCTTGAAATACTGAAGAGTAAATTTATTCAATAAAATCGCCATTGGCGTCAACCAATGCCTCCAGACTACTTCGGGATCTCCTGCAAGTCTTCTAGACGGTCAACCTGTTTAAGTTGGGGAGTGCTTCCATAATCCTTGCCATCAGTTCATCTTTGGTTTTAAAAGGAGTTTTTTCGTTCAATTGTGCCCCACACATAAAAATCAAGGGGGTTGCAGTCTGGGGAGTTAGGTGTCAGATGTAAGGTGTGATGTGGTCGCAGAAATTGTCTGACAGCCATGACTGGGTTCCTCTGCTTATGTGACATGGTGCAGAGTTCTGTTGCCAGACATAAGGTCCTCCAGCAGCCACCGTCTTCGCCCAAGGCAGGAATACTCACTCAAGGCACTTGAAGTAGGCCACCGTATTGAGTCTGAGGTCCTGTGAGAAGATGAATAGGGGCATAATGTCCCTGTCACTAGTGATGACGCCAAACATGATGATATTGACTGGATAAATCATCCAACTCTTTCTGCACTGTACTCAGTTTGACACTCAAACATTTCGAAATTCTCGTATCGGAGCTTCTTGATTTCTGGCAGATTGAATTGCATCATGGTCATCTTTTTCTCCCAAACGGTATCCAACCGCCCCTACTATACTGTGCCGTCGACAAAAACAAACAACGCTCATGAGAAAATATGTTCTCCCCATGTTATGGTCCAGGTTAGGATCAAGGAAGAACACGAACACAAGAGTAGAAATAACGAAGGTATATTACACAAAATAATAATACAAGATGTGGAAGGTGTTAGTATGACTGTCAGTCTGGTTTGGAGTGAACTACTATCGGCTCGATTCGATTCGCTATCTAGCCACCCCCCACGAGGGTTGCATGTGGCACAAGGCCGAGTTTAATGTGGGTTTCCGAGTCCGTAGTCTCGGCCAAAAGATACCCGTAGAACCCGTATAAACGGGATCGGGTTGGTCAACCTCCCGAACGAGACTGCCCTTCGGCGGAGCCTCGTCTGGGTTCCTCTCTGTTCAGAGGCAGAGCCAAAAATGCCGGTCGACCGTAAACGGGATCGTGTTTCTCGGCTTGATTCGGCCCTCGTCTGGGTTCCTCTCTCTTGAGAGGCGTAGTATACATAGTGTTAGGAAGAGTTCATTCTGTAGTTATAGGTAAGGACCCATGACACCCCATCAAATCGTTTATCAGCGATCGAAAAGGGTAATAATCGGTTGGCGCAAGTTCTGGCAAATTTGGTAGCTGAGTTCCCATTTTTTTCTCTGCTTTATTCTTGTTGCTTGTGCTCTTGCGTTGCCATGGAGAACACTTTTCTTTAACCCGTTGTGTAGGCCGCCATTACCGCGCAAAAAGGTATGTAAGCGAACTCTCAATTTATTCTGAATTACTACGTGTGATGTTAGAAAGATACATTCGATAATAAAATTGGTTCCTTAAAATAGAAACTACTTATAGTTCAACCTAATATATCCATATTGCCAGCTCATTTATTTTTCAGTTTTTATACGTTGAGTATGACGCATTAATACCTTGTAGCCAATTTCATATGATTTTCAAATATATCTGATAATGTTACATGACAGTTACGCGCAAGATAATTTCCATCGCCCGTTTTTATGTAATCCATTGAGTTAGTCTCAATTGAAAAGTGCCGCATAAAAATTATAAGTTCCATTGTGATCCTAACCTCCTAAGTCCCCGGATGATAATGGAACTTATAATTATTTCTTTTCGGTTAATGAGTCAGGCTTAGAGAGAGGGTTAATTATAAGTATTTTATCTTGGTTAATGAATAGTAGCTAGGATTCATTAACTATAATTTTATAATAATAGTGGGTGTAGTACAAAACAAATATAATCGATATTAATATTACAATTTCGATGCAGATCAAATGACACCTAATATGTGACAACAACTTCGTAATGGAATGCAAAAAACTCTTTTGTAAAGGAAATTACTCAGCATGTTTAAACATCGAAGTCCTGCACAATTTTATACTCTCGTGAAATAAGTTCTTCACTTTGTTGTGTGCTTTCACACCTGCTGACTTGATACCATCATCTAATAGCGAACGTTTCTTTCATTCTTGGCGCCAAATTAAAGAATACTTTAAACTAATTTAAAATTGTTATTATCCTTCGTCTCTCATAGATTGTTTTTTCTCCAAGAGGAATTTTTTTTTTCTTTTCTCTTCGTTTTATTGGAGAGAATCGATTTTTTCGATTTCCCACTTCTAGAAAAATGTCACTTAGATATTGATTCGAATCGCTTCTTTTTAGAGATGTAAAATGAAGAAGGAAAAAAATAATGGCTTTTAGATTTCAAATTAGCAAGTTCAGTATCTGAGGCGTGCTTGAACTTTCCAAAAATAGGGAGCAATCATTATTTAAACGAATCCCATCAAACCTTTCTCGGGTGAAAGAAAAAAGAAGTAATGATCTATCCAAATTAGTCATTCAAATCGCTCAGACTTTTTTGAACTTTGCGAAAGTAAGAAACAAAATAAAGTTTGCACTTTGTAAGGGATCGGATTATTTTGAAGATGGCCTTCTATGTTCGAGTAACACTTCATGTAATTGGGTAACCAGGCACTTAATATTAGCTACCAACTTAATGATGAAATACAAGAAACAGACACCGTTGTATGAGTTTACATATTATTGTAACGGGGAGGGCGATGAAAGAAAGATGTATTCTCTCGTTTGTATTCTCCCCCTCCCCCACTATTGGCATTATTATATCCATTATATAATAACATTGTAGTTCACAAATGGAATGGAATGACTGAAAGAAAATAAATGACAAACATGCTTTATTCTCAAAGGGAGTTTTATATGACTAAGACATACACAAAACTATATATGTGTGTGTGTGTGTGTGTGTGTGTGTGTGTGTGTGTGTGTGTGTGTGTGTGTGTGTGTGTGTGTGTGTGTTCCACGTGAAGAATAATATATACCATATATCTACGCAACAAAGCGGTGTGCATGGAGAAACAAAAAGGAAGGGACTTGCCTATAATATGGAGATACTCCTGTGTCTGGAGAAGCCATGTCTAGAACACCAGATCCAAACGGGCCGGATTCATCTATGTCCCAGGCGAGAACATATTCCACGAACAGCAAACAGCGAGTCCTGGGGTTTCGAAATTGAAAACTGCGAGCTAATTTTTTTTTCTATATTTAGAAAAGATATATTCCCAAAAGGAAACAACATCATGTGCTTGTAAGTTTCCAGGGGAGGCATACTTGGTCTCGGCCAGGACACTTTGGCCCAAGCTGAAAGAAAGTAACATCACGTGTTAGCTGCTGTAAACAAACTTAATTTGTCTGCCACTTTCGTCACTGTATGGAATGACGTCACTATGCCTCTATCATGTGGCCCATGTGACGTATTTCCACCAAAGGGAGATAAGCGCCTTCTGTATACCTACATTGTGATAATATCGTATTCATTAGGACAACGTGACTGTCTATTCTTCGTCTTTTCTCAGATTTGCCCCCTAAGGGGCTTTTCGTTAAACTAAAGCAGTATGAATGGCTACAGATTATGGACTATGCACGATCATAAACGTGAAATAATTTCTTTTGAAATCAAAAAAAGAAAGTTTAATATAATCATAACAACGATCTTATGCTTTAATAGAAAAGATTTTTCATGTAATTGCATCTTTATATACCTGCAGAATCTTATCAAAGTAATATTAATTAAAATGTATATCTCAGCAAAGATATAACCGACATTCACTTTATGTGCCTTAACCACTTCGGCCACGCAGGTCGCTTTCAATGCTCTCTGCCGGTAGAATATCGCGTTGAAACACCGATTCCCCTAAGATCACTAACATTAAGCAACATCGAATTTCAATTCCCGTTGGATTCATTGTGCGTCAATGCCTGACAAAGGTATGAATCCACCTCTTCTCTCCCAGCTATGGGATAATCAGTAAGAGTTGCATTACTGAAACCTTTATTATCTCAAAAAAAACTTCTTACAGTCTGAAAAAAGAAATATTTAATGTCCTTAAATAACCTACAAAAGGTTGATAAGCCATAGAAAACGAATCAACCAATCAATAAAGCCTTATTGAAAGATTCTTTTCCGACATAAAGGGAATGTAGGTTCGATATTTACTAAAGGTTACATCTCCTTTAATAAGACTTTTCTATGTTCTAGGCCAGAAACAGTTAATTTTACTGTTTAAAAAATAGGAGTGTCTATCTTTTTTTTCTATAAATGAGTTAAGTATAATGGTTTTGTGTGTATGTGCGCGCATACACATGCATGTGATTATATCAATAAATATTACAGGTAATTCAATTAC